TTCTATTTATTTCTTCTACTTATTATCTTATGTAATTGACCTTTATTTATTGTTGACTTAGCGGCTTTTGTGTTGATTTAGTTTATTTCTCAATTTGATCTATTTGTGTTAAAACCAAATAATGTTTTGTTTTTCTCTTTTTTTGGGTTAAAAATGTAGGTTAACTTTCTCTAAAATTCTTTTTTTTGTCAAATAACTTCTTTTGAAAAAGTTGGACTGCATCTATTGGTTTGGGATCAAGTTTTTAGTCCCATTTGACTAGATTAATGATTGTTTTGCAGATGTAGACATGATGCAAGAATTGCAAAGTATTATAAACAGTAAATGCAAATACCATCATGTTCTGAATCCTGAAAAGCCCAAAATCTCGTTCTTGGGGGTTTATTGATGTTTTTAAATTCTTCACTTTGGTTTCACAAACAAGGCTTAAACCTAGTCCTAGACTAAAATGTATGTCTAAACAGTTTTAACTAATAGAAACGTGCCCTGACATATCTTAAAATATGTCAGAGCCATTGTTTTGTCTCAAGATGCACCCCAGTAATGTTTTTTCTAAGACACATTTATAAAAGCTACTTAGATCTCCTAATTGAACTATGACCTAATCCTGGCTTAATCCAAGCCTTGTTTGTGAAACCAGGCCTTAAAGTTAGTAGAAGAGCCACTGAGGAGAGGTAAGCTTCTGGCCTGGGATATGATGTCCTCCTTCAGTTCCTTCCTTTACAAATTTCCAAATGGCATAATACTGGGATTGGACTATGGTGGACAGAAATGTTCACACCTGTGTCCATTTGTGTGAAAGACAATCTCTTTTCTCATGTAGCACCCAGTCAGGACAAAGATAATGGATGTGAACTCTGCCTCAGGCCTTTGCAGGATGTTCAAGGATTTGGACAAGCAGTTACAGGCCCTGGCTTTGGGCCTTTTGTCTCTTTTTCGGCTCTTGTCAACTATGTGCCATTTGTATTGTTCAAAGGACCATATCAGCAATATGGCCTAATAAAGCTGCTTTGTTTTTGTTTTTTACCCCTCCTCCTTTTATTTACATTTAACTTTACATTTTGGTTTCCCTTGCATACTTTACACTGCAAATTTTACAGACTTTTCCCCATCATTTTTCCCACGTCATCTTACTGTGGGATACTGGACAGCCGCACACCTTAAAATATCACTCAGCGTAGTGATGCATACAGCAACCAATTGATTTTAATGGATCCATTACAAATTCCCAGGGATAGATGTGCCCAATCTACTCCCTCCCCCGGCCTCCCCCGCTTCTATTGCTCCTGGCACAGCAAGGAGCCGAATAAGTGATACTGTGACTTTTGGCAGTGGAGGACCAGTTATTTGATTTGGATTAAAAGATCCAGGCCATCCCCCATGGTGCTGCTCTATGCTGTTGCCCATGGAGCAGCTGCAGCGGTGATGATAATCTAATGGCCGTGTGGCACTTGGACATAAGTTCAGTCAGAGAAAGTTTCCCTGATGTCTTTACTTTACAATGATCATTAAATAAAAGACAAAGTTCATTTTATTTCTCTTTTTATTTTTGTTTTGCGTTTTGTTTTTATTTTGGGAAATGAATCAGCTATTTATTTATTTTTGGAACTTTCTTTGGTTCATTTCTTTCTTTATTTATTTTTTTTTTGTATTTGAGTCGCCAAATTTCTTCATATTATTTATATATATATATATATATATATATATATATATTATATAGCACTTTTTACAATACACATTGTTTCAAAGCACCTTTACAGAAAATCATGATGTTAATGTTTATAATATCTTCATGCCGTAGTCACATTTAGCAGATTAGAGCTGGGCGATAATATGACATTAGATTACATTTTGTAAACTGTACAGTCAATCAAGCAGTTGAGATTTGCTATATAGTAAATCTCGCCCTATGCGGGTAATGTGTATACAAATAAAGTTGTGCATACTTGAACATCTAACTTTATATAAAGAGCTGGGCAATAAATAGTTACATTTTGTGACAAAAAAAGGCTGTATTTTGTTTGTTTTTGTTATTTTAACTTATTTGGTTCATTTACTTTTATTTATATTATTATTATTTTTGTTATTCTTTCAGAATGTTTTATTTAGTCTTTTTTTTCATTATTTTATTTATTTTTAAATAAAACTGCCTACTTAAGTGCCTCTGTCTCTTCTCATTTATTTATTTATAATATATTTTGTGTGTTATTTTGATAACTATGCTTTTTTTCTTGTTTTGGTTCAGTTTAATTTTTTTATTTTGAAAACTTGAGTGCCTTTCTTTTTTCCCCCATTTATTTAATCTTTTTATTGTTTTGTTTTTGTTTTGGAAACATAACCATACCACAGATCAGTTGTATATGGCTTCATTTTGCAGTGTTACTCAGCTAATGTGAAAGACTTACATATATACTGGATTCATGTGATGCATCAAAACCAAATTATAATCAACTAACCTGTCTACACTGGAAGTTCATATACAGTACAGCAGAATCTCGACGCCGTCATAAAGCCCAACCCTATCGTAAAATAACGGTTTAAGAAAGAAAATCAAACAACTGAAGTGCCTCAACTTAATGTTGACTCACGGTGAGTGCTAAAGACAAAATTGTCCCTCACAGCATGATCTCTAATTTATCAAAATACAATTACCACCCATTCCTATCAGCATACTGGTATATTTGCATTAACACCCAGAGAGGTCTGCTTGATAGGGGAGGTTACTTATTCATCTCAGTTGAACAATCCCATCTAGGTGTTGATAGCACTAGGGAAGACCATTCTGCTATAGCATTACTGCCTGTTGACTTAATGTCTCTCACCACACTGGTTTCTCAATGGTAGACTGTATTCACATTAGAAGATCTTCGCTTGAGCCCTTCTGTTAGGATGTCACTTATCTAGAAGACTCATGCTGTGGTTTTCACCCACATTAATGTTGTTGTTTTTTACTAAAATCAAATGTTTTTCATGAGCTAGAGCCTTATGTTCCTAGGAGAGACAATTGGATTTTGTGTTCGTCCCTTCAGCCCAAGTAATTATTTGCCGCATTCAGATGTGACAAACACTGGACAACACCATGTGTTTGTTCCTTCCACCCAAGTAATTATTTGCCATGTTCAGCTAGTGTAGTGGTTTCTGTTGAATTAATATGGGGGAAGGGGCTTACATTTCCTCTGGGTGACCCAGATGGTCATCTGCTTCCTCTCTTCTCAGCTAATTTGGACACTAGCCAATCAGTTCTCCCTTAATATGATTAGTAAGGCCAAAGCTTGACCTGTAAGCCTGATAACAGCTTGCACAGTTTCGTAAATGTCTTCGATGTAGGATAATGTTTTGCATTCGGATCTCGCGGCGACGCCATTTGCCTTGGCATGTGCACCGGACAAAATTTGGTCTGCAATTGGTCTTTGTAATTCAGAGGTCTGCGAAGCCTGAGATTTCTCGTAATCCTTTTATAATGTAATTCATTATACAAGTGGTTGTTTTCAGATTCCCTCAAGGTTATACAGTAGATGCTCATTCACTTGACACATCACAATAGCACACAGCATGGATGCCCACCGCTGTTGATTGACTTGATTCCCTACCGGGTTCCCGGCCGCTCTTGGGCCCAGCTGGGGTGTATTTGCTGTAAACCTGAAGAGGGCCAGGCTGTAGACCGCTCTCTTCCCCAGCTGTGATTCACTTAGCATATTAAAGAGTGGGGCGGTGGATGAGTCCTGTAAACTGCTTTATTGCCACTCTGCCTTTTCCTTTCAGACTTTGTGTAAATGAATCCTGGAGCCACAGTGGATAACTTGTAATCAAGCACAGGGCATGTGCACAGAGGGACTATTAGATTTTATAACCGTTTTGTGGTCATGGCTCCTGGGTCACCACGGTGACGTGGCGCTAAAACTAATTGCCTAAAAGCATATGAGCTAAAAAGATAGCATCAATGTTAATAATACTAGAGATATATCAATTTATCTGTAACATATCGATTATTGGCTGATATTACAGATTTAAAATTTAACGTTATCAATCCATATTAGATGGATATCAGATTTTGTTTTATTATTAGTATTGGTTAATTTTGGATATTTTTCAAGCTTGTTTCTCCAGTCTTACCGGTTTCCCCACCCGACATCAGTCCATATTGGTGTATTCGGATGATTATTAGAGTTTGTTTTAGTAGTATTAGTTTATATTAAATATTTAATTATTTATCCTCCTTTCCTCTATTTTTACATTTTAGATTCACTTTAAGTGAGTGTTAAGGCCGTTCACACCAAGGACAATAACGATTCAGAACGTTTTTTTTCCATCTCATGAATGATAAAAACATTGGCAGCCAATCAGAATCCAGCCTCCTTTAAAGAGCTCAAGCATTTAAAGCTGCAGGCGACAACTGTAGGGCACGCTTATAAAAATCAGAACGATATCGTCCGCTGGTGTGGACGCTAATATAGTTATCTTTAGATATTGTTCTTGGTTTGAACTGGCCTTTAGATGATGGCCAAGGTAATTATTTAAAAACTATTTAGTAATTTAATAACAGTGTAAAATGTAATCTTAAACTAATCTCAAAATTAATATACATTTTTCGCACTATACATTATAATGTTGTGATGCCTAAATTCACTTTTGCTTTTATAAATCAAAAATTATATTTGATCAAAAGTATTATTATTTTTTTGACAAAATTGTATACAATTTTAATATTGGCCATTTATTGTTTATTGTCAGCCAGAATGTGTACTTTCCCTTGCTGTAGCTTCTGTCAGCCAGCCGTCAGCTCCATACCCCTTCATGTTAGCTTGAGAAAGACCCTTGGAGTTCAAAGGTTCGCGCTAAAGAAGGCCTTCCTGACATGAAGAGAGGAGCCTGTTTGTGCATCTTGACTCCTGACACCCAATAACTCACTTTTTTGCTTGTCCTTTCAAACAGTGGCCCCCAATGTCATCCCCTCCCATCACTTTTTTTTGTGCTAATTGTTTCTCTCTCTTTTCTCGTAGAATGGAAATTCAAGTTGGAATGAGGAAGGCGATGGTGGGAGAAGCCGAGGAGAGGCCTCCAGAGACTTTGCCAAGGTAAACATTGCTTTTGTTAGCCACAGCTAGTCATTACACATTTTGTCAGTGACACACTAACACAATTTTGCTGGGTTATTTAACCTTACAGCAGCGTGTGAAAGAACTACTTTTTATTGATTAGGGCTGTCCGTTTTTCCATCACAATTAATCAAATTTTTGTAGTTAAGTTTACTCATTCAGTTCATTTAAGGAAAAAATGAACTGTATAATTATTGGGTTCTGAGATTTTTTTTTCTGACACTCATATGGAATATATACACTGCGGTTCAAAAGCTTGGGGTCTGTAAGATTTAAAAAAAAAAAAATTCATAGAAGTCTCTTATGATAATTTAAGCGCCATTTATTTGACAAAAATTGTGAAATATTGTTCCAATTTAAAATAACAGTTTTCTATTTGAATATATTGTAAAATGTAATTTATTCCTGTGATCAAAGCTGAATTTTCAGCATCATTACTCCAGTCTTCAGTGTCACATGATCCTTCAGAAGTCATTCTAATATGCTGATTTGCTGCTTAGGAAGCATTTATGATTATCAATGTTGAAAACAGTTCAGAGAGAGAGAGAAGAGAGATCGATCATTCAACAAAAAAACACAGTTATAACGTCAAATGTAATGATGCGTTAGCATATTTACAGTATTATATGTAAGGGATAATTCACGGCTAGCTGTGCAATAAACTATTTTAATGCACAATGTGGAGGCAAAGAACCACTTGACGCGAAACGTTGCTTCTACGGATTGCATTCAAAACGATTAATGCACAGCTAGCCGTGGATTATCCTGTCTATACAATGGTCATTTTCCAGCATTGACAAGTTAAGGCCCAATATACCCATGGCAAAGTTCTTCTTTGTTCTTCACTTTGGGGTAAAAAAAAATGTTTGAAACACGTGAGCAGCGGTATACTGTTAGCAAACGTCCCGATGCCGCCCACACTGCTAAAGAGTGATGTTTAGATGACCGTGTAAATATGTGCTTCACGCTGTCCTTTCAATAACTACAAAAATGACAGCGATGAGAAAACGTTAGTTAAGAAAGCATCTGATCATTGAGATCTAGATGTTTGCACGAGCTTTGCAATTCAGCACTTCAGTAAAGTCACGCCACGTTTATTTATATACCACTTGAAAAATAAAACATAAAAAACATCCCATCCGTTCATGTTTTTTCTCGTGGACGTCCGAACTCGAGGGACTGAACAGAAGAAATGAACCAGAAAAGATTTCCTTATCAAAGAAGGCCACAGACCAATGGTAGTTCGAAAGTGTTTACCAGCTTCTGGAAAGTTGGCTTTAAAGGTGAACTAAGTAACTTTTTTACCTTAACCGAACAGCTTTAGAGTCATTGTAATGTTTATATTACTGATTTCGTGTTGAATGGTGGTCGTCTCGCACCCCCCCTGGTGCCTGTGAGCCGCAAAACCACCCTTGCAACTTTGGGCCGGCGAGCCGCGAGGTAACGAATTGCTTTACAGCAAAAAAACAGATCTGATAAAATGAGCATCAAACAGAAATAACCCGGCGCCGTATACATGTGGTGTTGGGCGCGCGCAGCTCTTAAAGGGGCCATACCTTATTTCCACTCGTTACAGCGTCCATCCTACTGAACAGGTACCGGGATCCGGCCGTGAGTGCGAGCCATCTCTGCGTGAGTGCTATTCACGACAGTACAAGTACTCCACAGCGACTCTAGGGGTCGCTGTTTGACAAAAACGGAATTCCTACTTAGTGCTGCTTTAACTAGCCATTTCAAACTCCCAAAATGAACGAAAAAAACTAACTTTGTTTTGGCCTGATTTTGTTCAAAATTCACACCAGTTTGTTTTGTCTGGAACTACCTGTGAATTAAACTGTTTTAATGCACACCTTCTAGCCAAAAAGGAATTGAGTATTCAGACAGACCATGGTATAAATGTATTTAATCGCATACATTTACAAAATTTGACAGCCCTTAAATTGGTTAAATGAATTCTGTGTTTTATCAAACAAGTAAACAAACAAGGACTTGTCCAACAGTACTAACAGTAGCTTTATGTCTACAAAAAGATTGATGTAAAGACGGTTCCAAAAGGATTTCAGAATAATGACCTTATTAATTGTTCACAATTTTTACTTTCAGCTTTATGAACTGGACAACGACCCAAAACGGAAGGAATTCCTCGACGACCTCTTTGCGTACATGCAGAAACGAGGTAGGACGGGCTCTTTTAATCCCATTTCAAACACCAATTTTGAAGAACTTCATCTCATCTATATAGGGCAAGTCTGCATACAAATAATTTAAATCCAATTTAGCTTCACTCTTTGGGCACTCTCATCTGACACCTATACCTAGCATAGAGACGGCCCCCTTAGTTAAGTGGAATCATATGTCCCTGGTCTCAGATTAGCATACTGTGACAGAAAGATGGGCCTGACGGCGTCCTCCGACTAAGACTAAGCTCTCAGCGACACAGCTTGACGGGGCTATTAACCCCATACCACGGGTTTAAACTCAACCAGATGGAGAGCTGTTTGTGTTGGTCTACCATCACACCCCTGCACCACCTACCAGTGTGCGTAAGTGGGTTTGTCAGCTGAGACTTCATAATAGGCGGGGGATGGGAAAAGTGTGATCTTGCCAAATGTCCGTCATGGAGGTCCTCGCAGCCATGATTAATGATGTTTTTTTGACTGATGGAGTGTGTGAAAATGACTTCTGTGGGTGACGGTTGTGTGTTATTCAAAGGATCCATCCTGAAAGTGTTTCAGCGTGCGCCCCGTCTCATTTTTAAGCCTGTGGTGGTTATCTTGTCAGTCGTTTTGCATATCACAATGCAAATATCTATTTTAACTGTGACATTCAGGTCAAGTGACCAAGACTAGTAGCTGGATTTGTACAGATTGTGTCCTGTTTCCACTCAGCAGCTTTGAAAAGCAAACAGACCTTTCTTGTTTTGTTGATTTGGTTGTCTGGTGTTGTTCTGAAGGGTCTCTAACTATCATCTCTCATTCTACTTCAGTTTATTCTAGTGGTCGACCGATAAGGATTTTTTTTTATGCCGATATCTTAGAGAGCAGGTGACTGATAAATATGATACCACGTTGTTTAATTGAATTTGCTGCAATACATTTTGTATTAGGAAAATGAATCGGCATAAAAATCTTTAAAATAAACTTACATTTATACTTTAGGTTGAAACTATCTTTTTTATTTCTTTTTTTTAATAGTTAGGTCTAATAAATGATTAGACCAATGTTAAACAAAGACCATAAATGGATGGAAAGATGGAGAAGGGAGCTCCTGTGTCAAAAATAAGTTCAAAATAAGTCAATTTCCAACACTTAACTGCCAAACAGAAATTTTCTCGACCAAAGCTGAAAATTTGACCAAATATTAGCCAATATAGATCGATCAACCACTAGTTTATTTCAACAGCACTTAAAAAAACGATGCTGTGTAGTGTCTTTATTGGCGACCGTAGCTTTAGACACATTTTGGTGTATTTGATGTCCAAAATAGGTTTGTTGGTGGCCTTTTTTGGTAAGATTAAAGGAATATCCCAGGTTCAATATAAGTTAAGCTCAATCAATAGCATTTGTGGTATAATGTTGATTACCTAAATAAATATTTCCACTTGTCCCTCCTTAAAAAAAAAAAAAAAAAATTGTGTTACAGTGAGAGACTTAAAGTAAAAGTGAATGAGGCCAATTTGTAAATGTTAAAATACTCAATAGTACAACCACGAGGCACAAACAATATGCAAGTTAACATGAATATAGTTTTGACAATGACAATGTAATGCCTAAACTCTAAAATGACTGTAAAGAGGATGAGAAAACCATTACAACTCAAATCACACACAGAATGATTAAAGATTAAATTCATAGTTTACCCAAAAATTTACATTTAAGATATTTTGAAGAATGTTAATAACCAAACAGTTATTAACATAACTGTTACGAGTAATCAAAATTACTTTAACTTTATTGGTAATCCACAACTGTTGTTGACTGGGCTTCACTTGTATTGAACCTGGAATATTCCTTTTAATGGCACACTCGCAGTATATATATATTTTTTTATGCTTTGATCTTTCTAACTTTGCACGCACTTCTATAAAAGTCGGCCTCTGCCCTGTGTATTGTCCACATCAGAGCCCTTGAAACTTGATAAGATGGGAGGAGGACAGGAGCAGTGGCTGCAGGGGAGTTTTGTGAGGGGATGTTCAGTGTGTGTGTGTGTGTGTGTTGATTGGGGGCTGTGAGGGGGGCGTCTTTTGCTCGGGGCCTGAGGGGATCAGATAGAGGGTGGGTGAGGTGGATTAAGGGGCCCCTGTCCCTCTCCTAAAGATTAATGAGACCCTAAAACTCAGGGCCCCACCTTTGATATTAGAAGAATGACAGACAGTAGAAAGCAAAGACAATGCTGTGACTGCTGAATAACAGCGGGATGGGGAGGGGATTGCATGGATGAGAGGAAATGATGACAAGATGAATAGAGAAAGAGAGGGTGCAATAAGTTATAAGAATGCTGCAAACCAGCTAGTGAAGTTGTGTGCCAATAGAGTTCCAAAATGGAGAAAATAAGCCAGAGGTAATTTGTTGTATATGGAGAAGTGCAACTCTGTATATCGATTAAAATGTATGAATCTTACTAAAACATTAAGGGAATTGAAAAAAAAAAAACGATGTTAAATCATTACAAAACAACCTAATTGTGACTTATGCAGGCAATAGCAATATAAATTAAGGTGCTAATATTCAACAGTTCAATATATTTATAATCATGATAATAAGACAATTCTTATGACAATAGTTTATTAGCCTAACAAAATGATTGAATGTGTATGTATATTGAATGTTTTCAAATGTGACTCATTTAATCAGATCTTACAGCCAGAACTAATGTTATTAAGAATGCACGAAATATTAGTACTATCAGATTATATACAGACAGTGTTATTTATTTATTTTAATTTATCGGTATTTGTCCATATTAGATTTAAATTGACCAATATTGAGTATTTAATTGTACATTCTCATCCGTATTTTAACATTTTATTTATCTTTTGCTTAAGTCACATTTTAAATGCTTGAATTTAATAACATTGTTAAAGGTAATCTTTAACAAATCTCAAAATTAATATTTTTTTTTTAGTCTGTACATAATCATTTATCATTTGGTAGCATTTATTTATTATTTTTATGTTTATTTAGACAAAAATATAATATAGAATTTTAATGTCAGGCATTTATCAGTTATTGCTTTTAACATGAAAATAATCAGTTTATCAGAATTGGTCAGAATTGTTTATATCAGTGTTTTTTTTTTTTTTTTTTTTGTGGATGCAAAAAAAAAAAACTTTGACAAGTACCAAATGTTACTGTACCAAATACATAAAAATTTCCAAGAAATATTATACATTATTTATACAAATATATTTGATAGGGATGCACCGATATGAACAGTGCGCATCTGAAGTGTCTCAGCTGAAGGAAATAATCCATTATTTATCGGCTTTAATATATTGGCCAAATTTTCTTATCGGGCTGAAAACGATAACGTTAAAAATGAACATATATCGGCCGATACTAATGTGGTGGCCAATATATCGTGCATCCCTAGTATTTGAGACTTATATATTTGAGGCTGTTGCAATTGACCAATCAGAATCAAGTATTCTATAGAGCCTTATAAACGCATGTAATGTAGAACACACTTCCAAATTCATCACGCTATCCTTTGTTGAATTATTTAACTGGCTCATTTTGTTACCGTTTTAATGTCCGTAGCTTCTCAAGAACAGCTTTGAATTATGACTAAGAGCATTTGTTGCCCATTTTAATTTATCGTTGACATACCGAACAGCTGCAATAGAAGCGCTGCTCGGTTTCCTACAGTCAGCAGGGAGTAGGAGGTTATATGTGTGCACGGCCTCTATTGTGTGACTTCATAATAAGTGTGGCATGTCCTGTTTGGAGCATTTGTCTTGTCACTCCTGAGGCTTGTTACTCTCCTCAAGCATGTTTATGACATCCTGGGTTTGAAGTGGGCTGCTCGTTTCCCACCCGAGCGTCTCTGTCCTTTTATGACCACCGACTACAGATTTATCTTGTAAAGTCAGGAAGATCCCCAAAAAACTCTTTCCTTATCCATTTCTCTTTGCGTCAATGTTCACTGTCCCCCAGGGAAACGCAGCCTTGTACTGAGCCCTCATTCGTTCGTTTTTATGGCTCAGTGGTATAGGGATGTGGCCCTCCTAAACCAGTAAACATGTTGAAGTCTTAATCAAATGCGCTAAATCAAACTCGACAGTAAATTCCTTCTTGTGCAGTGTCAAATCAACTGAATTATGACCCGTGTGTGTGTGTGTGTATGTATGTATATATGTATGTGTGTGTGTATATATATGTGTGTGTGTGTGAGTGAATGTATGTATGTGTGTGTGTATATAATAAAGAATGAATACTAACTAAGAATAAAAATGTGTACATGCATCTATTATCAGCAAAATGTCTTCTGCTTGTAATGTCTTGACATGCTCATCTATGATAAGAAAATTAAAACTAATCCTAATTAATAGCGATAATAATAGTTTTCTCTGCGAGTAAAGCAAGTAGCTTTATTTGTGTAATCCTGCCTTAACCCACCTGAAATTAGCTCACCTAGAGCCAGGGCGGCTATATATGCATATGTGGAGTGTCTTTGGAGTTGTGGAGTGGAAGATGGGTGTCGGAGGAAACATGAATATTTTATACAAGAACGGAAAGTGCTTGTTGCCAAAGAAAATGAAAAATGACTCGCTTTAAAATAACCCTGTTTGTTTGCGATTTGTCAATTTCAAGGATGTTGTGGTTGAAAGTTCTGGTGAATCTCAGAAAATCTGTTTGTTTTTTCTTGACAATTTGGCACAGTTCTTTTTTTTTTAAGCAATTTTTTTGCATTGCAATAATTTTGCAAGTATATTAATTCTATTTTAATGTAAAATTTGTATTTAATTTGTTTTAATTTGTAAAATAAACTAAATATGTTTGTAATAATTATTGTACTGCCTTTTCCCTATGTTATTTAAATAATGGTTGACTGATATTTTGCCAAGGCAGACATATCGGCCGATTATTTGGCTTTTTTTTTTTTATCCGATACGTTTTTCTGTTTCGCCAATGTCAGAAGTGGGTCTTTTATTTTGATAGCGCTAAGAACGCCAAC